TTATCACGTTTTCTGCGCTATGTGGAACATTGGCCTGTTGGAAACTACCACTCCCTATTACATTGCACAGTTCGGGCATGATCTGATTGATCTCTGTAGAAACTGCAGCGCAATGTGCGCATTGAGCTCACAGAAAGGAACGAAATTGAATTCAAATAATTTAACTGACGTCAGTCAACTATGAGTTGGGTTAGGGGAAGGGTTAGCTAACATGCTATGTAGTTGTAAAGTAGCTAAAAAGTAGTTGCAAAGTTGCTAATTAGCTAAAATTGTCCGTGATGAGATTCGAACACGCAACCTTCGGATTGCTAGATGTTCGAGTTACACGTCCACCTTACCACCCTCCTTTCGTTTCTGCCTTAAGTAATCTATTTTATCTAACCATACCAAACGTAACCTATGTTAATTTGAGTGTCCCGGATTCACGTTTACTTTGTTACGTCTAGTCTATGAGCCCATCTGTGAGATGAGGTTTAGATCACGATTTCCATGGTAGAGTTGAACAGCAAGGGGCAAAAAGTGCTAGATTTACTACAAAAATTTTAGGGTGACCATACGTCCTCTTTTTCCCGGACATGTCCTCTTTTTGGACAAAAAAAAATGCGTCTGGCCGGGATTTCTAAATCCAATTGATGATGCAGAGTGCTTTGATCAGGTCACCAACCTGAAGAAATTCACAGAAGGGTGTAACAGTGATGGAGAGTTCAGTAATCTGCAAGCACACAAGAAGTGGACCAAATATTTTGAAAGGTCCAAAAGCATAGATTTTCATTCAGCGCTACTGAAGATTGCACAGTTTTTCTTTGCTATTCCTTCTCACAATGCAAATGTAGAGTTTTTTTTTACTGATGCAAAGCCAGTGGACAAAGGAAAGGAATCACTTGTCTGTTGAGTCACTGAAGGGGCTTCTGTGTACACAATATAACTTTAAAAACATGTCTTGCAAAGACTTTCATGCCTACTTGATTGGTAATCAAGGACTGTTGGGAAAGATTCGATCTTCGGGAAAGTATACCAGAGAGCATCAGGAGGACTGACATTATTTTTGACTGAAATAGTGGATTTTTTTTTATGACAACTGTTTTATTTTAACCTATGGACATGAAAAGAAACAGTGTCATGTAAAAGTTGTTAAAAGCTAAACTATTTTTATTTGTTTGTTATTATTCTATTGTTGAGGGCCAACAGTTGAATGGAAAGGATGTATTACTTTATGTATTAAAGTTCAATAACATAGTTGCATGGTTGTGAACGCATTTGTATTTACCACCCACTGCGGGTGTCCGTCTGCTCCCACTGTCCTCTTTTTTTGAAAACTAAAATATGGTCACCCTAACTAAAATAAATATCACCTTTGCAACAAACTGTCAAAATGAAAACCAGAATTGATGTTTCACTATAACTAAGCCTAAACATCTGGTTTTGAAAGTTACTCTTGAAACTTTTGAAATCAATGTTTTATGTTTGGCACACATTTTTGTGAGTCTTACGTATTTCCATTACAGTGAAATTGCCCAACTACATTAACCTGGATAGTCAGATGTCTGTTTTGACAAACCCATTTTTTGGCAGGCAGGGTATTCTAATAGCTTTTAGTAGTCCCTTTTATAATCCGAGAGTGGAAGACACACTCATCTCTAACATGTGGGCTCAACGTTTCCGAACAGTCCCCCATTAGTCAGGATGTTGAATAAACTTCATTTGGACTTACTTTACCTGGTGTCCGCTGATTTTGTGCTTATGTCGGAGGTAATCTGAGACAAAATACCCACAGGGAAATGTTATTAACTCGACTTTCAGTACGATGGTCTATAGGCCTATGGTTCTGTCGGTTTGTATTTTCAGTTTGTAGTTTCAATTACTGATGCAATTCGCACCCGATGTAAACACTTGTACAATTTGTAAACAATGGCTAAACGAACTACAGACCGAAAGTTGCCGACTTTTAATTTGCAGTAAGACTTCTAATTTACAGTAAGATGCAAGCACTTCCAGCTGATTGCAAGGAAACGTGTTTCGGTCGACGACAATGTTCGGGTACATTCGGCTATTGTTTACATAATGTGCATGACGTCAGGAGACGGCGACTTGCATTGGAGAAAAGATGGCAGAAGCGGATGATGAAGTGGATTCTGAATCCAATGGCGGTAGAATCAAGGAGAATTTGAGCATTGTCCAAACGAATGGAAAACGGAGCAAAGAATGAGAATGACCCTTCGTATCTAGTAGGAGTACGGGTTGTTAATGAGGAGCAGCTGAACAGAGTACCGATCTTGAATAAACCATTTGAGAAATCCAAACTGGTGGAGAGAGCGCTGGGTAAAGTGAAGGCTGCGAGGATCACGAGAGGCGGCCATGTTTACATTTTTGGTGCTTCAGCGAATCAGAAGGAACGTGCGTTACGTCTTAACCGATTTGATAAGTTTGAAGTGTCGTGTGTATCTCTTAGGAACAGGGCACCCCTCAAGGGGGTTATATCTGGCGTCTCGTGGGAAGTCGATTTTGAAGAGATGAAAAATATTCCTGGAGTGATTGATGCACGTCGGATGAATCGTGTAGTGAATGGTGTTAAAGTGAAGTCTATCGGTTCTTTTGTTTTTTGGATATGGAGTCTCTCCCTACTCAAGTGCTTTGGGGTATATAAACTACAGAGTTAGAGCATTTATCCCAAGACCAATGCAGTGTGACCATTTGTAAAGCTTTTGGTCATGTTCCAAGTGTTTGCAGAAGGGAGAAGCCGAGATGTCCAAGTTGTGGAAAATATCATATGTGTTATAAAAGTGATAAATGTGAAATGTTTCAATTGTGGTGGGAACCATGAAGCCACGTCTTTCGAATGCCCCACAAGATTGAAAGAGAATGATGTGGCCAAAGTCAGGGCTGTCCAGAGTATTTCATATGCAGCAGCTGTTAAAAGGGTTGAGGGTTTGAATGGTGCACCCGAAGAGTCCATGGTGGTGGATAGGCCTTCGCTGCAGGGGTTGACTTTTATCAGCAGGATCCTGACATTTTAAAGGTTAAGAAGGTGGCCTTAATAGCTATGGTGATAAATGGCACTGCCAAGGTGGAGAGAAAGTCCAGGAAGATATAAATCATAGTGGATGCGGCGGAGCGGTTCCTGGGGCTGAAAGACTTCTCGGCGAAGGAGTTACATGGAATATTGTCACAAGCTGTACCACCCTCTCAGGCCCTACAGCCTGAGAAGGGAGATATGCCGACTTGAAAGAAGGAAGACGTGGGAGTTTTGTTTTGTCAATGTACTATTTTTATTTGGTTGGATTAAGTTAGTTTCGCTATTATGTATGGATTTTCCTTTTACCTTGTTTTGGTTTCAACCCGTCCAGTTACGGTGGAGCATGTATTACTACAGTGTGGGCAGTATCAGAGAGAAAGTATGAGATCTACTATGAGGGAGAAGGGGATACAGGAAATTAGTTTAAAGAGTATATTGAGTAGAACGTCATTAGATATAGTCTCAAATGTTTCATATTTTTTAAGCGCAACGGGGCTGGCTGGTAGGATTTGGTTTATCCGTGTCTCTGGCCCACACTCCAGTACAGTATGGCGGTAATGCACCATTACGTTGGATGCCAACCGCGGATAAACACCACTGAAGAAGAACCCGTCCAGTTGGTGGTGGTTTTTGTAGTACGCCATAAAATCCACAGAAACAGGAGACAGAAAATACATACCGGAAATACAAGCAGACAGCCAGACCGGTGCCCCAACAAGTCTGGTTAATAATACTTTCCTGTGGACATTTTATCTCCACTTCCTATCGCCAAAAGGACCAACAGCACGGACAACCGGTAAAGTAAGTTTAAATATAATTGTATTCAACATTCTGGCTTTTAGAGACTCATGCGTCTTTTTTAGGGCGACTTCTTTTCATTCTGATTGATGTAGTAGGCAACCCTTCTGGGGTTGGGACAAGATGGAGTGAGTGGTCGTATTAAACGGAGCTCCTGAACTTTAAATTGAATTCAAGCCCTAATTTCAGTTTGACGACGAACACAGTTAAATTTATGTTTCTTACTGTATATTTTTTTCTTTCAATTAGTTTGGTGGTTTACCAAACATCACTTTTCCACTCTTGTTATACTTCAAGCAAGTTCAGACAAGACTAGTCAGCAAGAAATCAGTGTTAGATGGAAGCTAGCAAAAATGTAGAGGGAGCTGTCGTAACCTTGGTGGATACTGTCAATAATATGGAAGATTTTCCAGAAGTAACGGTACCGAAGTCGGAAGAATTCGTCTTCGGTACAGGTGTCCAAATAACCCCTTCGAAATCCCCCAACCTGAAGAGACTACGAGAAAGTGACGCCGGGCAGACTCAACCACCACAGCCTATCACCAATGAAGCCATATTCGAGGCAATCCAGGATTTAAACAGGAAATTTGACGAACAAGCTATTCGGCTGAATGGCTTTTGAGAGGATTCATAAAAATACCCTCTCGATTGCAAACGTTTCCAAAACTACTGAGTTTAATGCAGCAGGCCAAAATTCCTTATTTTGTAGTTTTTTTCATTGAACTGTTACAATTTTATAAATCCCTCAAACTTGTGAAACTTAAAAAGTAGGAACAATTATTAGAAGTCATGTCTCTGAATGTCAGTTAATGTCTCATTGCCTTGTCACATAAATTAATTATTCTTATTTTTTGGGGGTGTGGGGGATGGGGTGTGGGGTGTGGGGTTCGCCTGGTGTTTTATTATTTTATTTTTTCATTGTATTCACAGGAATGTCCCTATATTGATGTGTATTATTGTTGCAATAAATAAAATAAAAACATTAGGCAACCCTTCTGGTATCTAACTGACTCCACCCATGTGAACATACTGTAAGCTATTCATACAGACTCCCTGTTGACAGATGCCTCCCTTTTCCCTGCCCTCCCTGTCGGCTCAGGTCACAGTGGCCAGTCATTGGCCAGACACACACCCCTCCCTCCTCCTTTTACTTGTTTGGCTGATGTGATGATCTCTTTCTTCCCTTCTTTCAGACTGTTCCAGGTGTGCTTAGTGGAATGTAACACAGCTTGCTGCTCTGCTTTCTCTGAACTCTGAATTTTCGTCTTGATACTGATCTTCAGCTGTTGCTTTTCCTTTGTATCTAGGTAGGTTTAAATTTCCATTTCCATTTTAGTCATTTAGCAGACGCTCTTATCCAGAGTGACTTACAGTTAGTGAGTGCATACATTTTTCATACTGGCCCCCCGTGGGAAACGAACCAACAACCCTGGCGTTGCAAGCGTCATGCTCTACCAACTGAGTTACAGGGGACTACAGATGCCTTTTGTTTGTTCTGAACTATTTATGATACTTTTGTAGAGATTACCGCAAAGTGAAATTCAGAAACTTGTTTTTATGTCATGGCAACAGTTTCAAGAGTTAAATGCATGTACATGGACTGTCAACCTCCAGTACTTATTCTGTTTTATACATATCTGTCATTTAAAATCATTTTTTTCTCCACCACCTAAAGGATCGGCAGCCTACAGACTAAGCCATGACCCAAAGCAGCATGCCCCGTGAGGAGGCCTACACTGCCCTGATGAGGGGGGTCAAGGAGCTGGACATCAGCGAGCCAAACGTACCAAGCGACTTAGTTCTGATCGGCGACCAAGCCTTCCCACTGGCCATGAACGCCCGTGGCCAGGTCCTGATGGCTGCTTCATTCTACGGCCGAGGCCGAGTGGTGGTGCTGGGCCACGAGGGCTACCTCACCGCCTTTCCTGCCCTGGTGGAGAATGCCCTGACCTGGTTGACAGACTCCTCCTGTGACAGCACTACCGTGGGCGTCCACCAGAGCTGTAAGGCCGTGGCCGACAACCTGAGCTACTCCAGCCTCAAACCCAAGGTGGGGGGCTTCTGCGAGGGCCTGGGAGTGTATGTGACTGATGCATACTGCGTGGGCCCAGAGGTGAATGAGCTGGTGGGCTTCCTGAAGGCAGGGGGCGGGCTGCTGATGGCTGGCCAGGCGTGGAGCTGGGCGGAGGAACACCCCAAACAGAACACCCTGCTTGGTTTCCCTGGGAACAAGGTGTCCAGCGTGGCTGGCATCTACTTCTCGGAGCACCTTGGGGAGCTGGGTACCCTCCCTGTGCCTCCACAGATCCCTTCCAGCTGGCTGACTGTGGCGTAAGTATTGGACACTTCATAGAGAGAAGAGGAGGCGACGGTGGCATATTTAAGCAATAAGGCCAGAGGAGGTGTGGTATATGGCCAATTTACCATGGCTAAGGGCTGTTCTTAAGCATGACGCAACGCGTATATCGCCATATATCACAAACCCCCGAGGTGCCTTATTGCTATTATAAACTGGTTACCAATGTAAATAGAGCAGTAAAAATAAATGTTTTGTCATACCGGGATATACAGTCTGATATACCACAGCTGTCAGCCAACACAGCTACTGTAGTAAAACGGAAATGTATACATGGTGGTATTTTGTGCCTAATATCACCTCCTATAACCAGGTAAAAAAAAAGAGTCTTTATTTAACTCTAGAAATCACATGGTTAAATAAATGTTTATTTGAGCTATTTTTATGTGTCTAAGTTCTCTTGTCAAATCATACCTACCCTTTCACTCTCTTCTTTCCCTAGGATAGGCAAGGACTTCAAGGATGACTTGGAGTTCCTGCTGGAGGGTGTGACTGAGTTTGATATGCAGGGCGGGGCTATTTGCTCAGAGGTGCTGGTACACGGCCCTCTGGCATTCCCCATCGGCACCACACAGGACGGCAGGGCCTTTCTGGCTGGGGCATACTACGGCCAGGGCCGAGTCATTGTGGTTTCCCACGAGGGATACTTGGGCCGAGAGCAGATGTCCCCCTTCATGCTCAATGCCGTGCGCTGGTTAGACGAGGGTCGCAACGGCTTGGTAGGCGTCCTGCCCCATCTCGGCCACGCCCACACCCTACTGAGCAAGTCGGGCCTGCCCTGTGAGAAGAGCGGCTTCAGGAAGGAGCTCAGTGTCTACGTCTGCACCTCCTACAGCGACGCCCAGGCCGACGAAATCCAGGACTTTGTGGCTGAGGGCGGAGGCCTGCTGATCGGGGGCCACGCCTGGTATTGGGCCCAGTCCAACCCGGGCCAGAACGCCATGACAGGGTATGCAGGCAACCACATCCTCAACAAGATGGGCCTCAGCCTGTTGGGGAACACTCTGGGCGCAGGCTGCTACAAGGCCCCAGTCCCGGGTCAGACCTGCTCTGAGGGCTTCCACTTCCGCCACCTGCTGCACCGCTTTGCTTGTCACGTGACCCAGGGTGAGACGCTGACGGATCTTGAGGAGGCAGGTCTGAAGAAGCTTGGCGGCGACTGCGCCAATTACCTGCACATGCAGGCACACGACTGTGCCTCGTACACCTCGGTGGTGACCATGCTCACTGACGTGCTGAAGGAGACGGGCATCCCCCAGGTGTGCCACAGCTGCCCGGTGATAAGCCCCAAGGACCACCTGCTGCTCAGTGTGGGCGCGGAGGTGTACAAGGTGTGCCAGGACCCAGACGCCCTACTGCCTTACCTGATCAAGGACCAGCCCATGATGCCTTCCTTGTCCAATTCCAGGGTCAGGATCAACTGTAATACAGCAGGTTAGTTAGCTCTCATTTTCTCTTATGGGAATGTACTCTAAAATTGGGGTATAATGGGTCAAATGGAGATGGTTTAGTCATGGGAACCAATATGAAACACACCAGGAGTAATGGCTTAGCTAAAATGGGTGCGAGAAAATACTTTTCGCCATAGCTATTCTGCTTATGCGCAAGTTCATTGGTTAGTGTGGGAATATATGTTTCTAACCATACACTCACTATTCTATACAGTTATGTTTGAATATAACCACTACTGAACATTGTGTCTTAGGAGGAGAGGAGTGGCTCAGCACTGGTCTGTACCTTTCCCCTGGGATGAGGACCTACATGGCCATGCCACCAGAAATCGTCAACCAGGGCTGGAAGGTATCCAATACTGCATTTTATTTTGTCTTATAATTCTAAAATCTATTGAATCAAATCATGTTTTATTTGTTTTGAGATCAAGCCCTTTACATGTTGATATAAAAGCACTGTTGATTGATTGACTGATTGACTGACTGATGCCCCTGTTACCATCAGGTCCAGATAGGCTGTCAGACTGACAACATTGGGAATGCGAACGAGCTGAGGCGAGCACCAGTGGTTCATGAGCGCTTCCCCATAGACTCAGACATGATGCAGGTGTGGAACCTGTGGGGCGGTCTCCTCTATCTCATCGCCCCTCCTAAGACCCAGGTGGAGGGGGTGGAGGTCATCATTCAGGGGGCTGTGCCAGCCCCCTACTACAAGACTGGTAAGTGGGGGGGAGAGGGAGGTGGGTGTCTACGATGCATTTTACACTTTGGTCTTATAATGCATCCAAGTGATGTATTATAAGGGTGTTGCAACTATGAGTCGTTATAACTCATGACTTGTTATGACCGCTTATAGCAAGTGTTAAAATGCACTATAAGTATGCCATTATTATAATTGATGTGTGTGCCTCCATAGAAAGTGTTACAGAGAGGGTATTTCAATGAGACTAACCTGGATAAATACCAGATGAATAAAAGATAACGTAAAGTACATACACAATAAAGAGAACCAAGTACGTTCCTCCATCCAGTCCCCTCATTTACAGTCTGTCTGGAATCCTTTTCACTTCATCCAGGCAGAATATTTCACATCTTTTAACCTCTTTTTGTACCCAATTTCTTGTAAATGAATGGAAGCTTTGTTCTTTTCCCGGAGTTGTATTAATGTATTCTGATCTGCTATTCATGTATTCTTAATACATAAAAAAGTTGCTCGCTGTTGCCGTTTTGAATGTATGATGATGGCTACCACAGATTAAAGAGAAAATGACACAGCCTTTGTTCTGCATGAAACCTCTGTAGAATACACTAAGCTTAGAACAGCTATGCTCTCAGATAGACTGTTTAATTGCAGCTGTGTTACTAAAACTGAAATTCCTGCTGTTATGAGAATTGATTTGCAATGTGCTACTCATCATTGTGGTGGGAAGTCACACTGTACCAAATGTTTGTCTGGTAATAGTCATCATGAAGGCCATTTAATGCATGTTGTTCACCTATGCTAGGCTGATGGGTTTCCTCTAATTGGCTTACCAAGCTGAGATTTAATGAATTGATTGATCATAAAGATGCACACAGCCTGGGTCATAATACTTCAGTAATTATTATAATAATAATAAATTCAGTCAAATGATCCAGGATTTTCCTCCAACCCTTGCCTCTCTTCTCTCTCTAGGGGTGACCACACCTGCAGACTGGGCAGTTCTGCGGACCGCCCCTTCCCCCTGGGCAGAGATGGAGTTTGAGAACATCATCCTGACCGTCCACTCTGACGTGGTCCGAGGTCTGGATCGGCCTGACCTGGTGGCAGCGCTCTGGGATGACATCATGAGGGGGATAGCTGACCTGGCCGCCATCCCTGCCAAGTTCCCCCGCAAGGAGCGCTTTGTGGCCGACGTCCAGATTTCCCATGGTCAGCATCTGTCCCTCTTTATTTCTTAGCATGGACAAACATTCATGACTGGAATTGACTCTGGTAGGGGACTAGGGATTGTGTAATTGCTGGATATGAACAGGAAAAGGAGATCTGAAAAGACATTGACCCAAATATTTCAAAAATGTATTTTGAGTCAGGTAGGACAGTACCTATACAGTTTCTAAGTGAGTTGTTGTGCTGTAGAAAAATGTGCACAGCTTCCGCCCTGCCAGTATCCAGACATTGATCTGACCCTCTCCTCCCTCTCTCCCTTCCACCCCTACAGGCTTCATGCATGCAGGCTACCCTATCATGATACAATCCTCCTCCGCCCCAGACCTGATGAACCCTGCGGCAGCCCGCAGCTCGGGCCTGTGGGGAGCCATCCACGAGCTGGGCCACAACCAGCAGAGAGGAGTCTGGGAGTTCCCCTCGCACACCACTGAGTGCACGTGTAACCTGTGGTCCGTGTACGTGCACGAGGAGGTGTTGGGGGTGAAACGGGATCAGGCCCACCCCAACATGACGCTGGCCAAACGGCAGAGCCGTGCCGAGGGGTATGCTAAAGGGGGCAGGAATCTGGCCAGCTGGGACATGTGGGTGGCACTGGAGACCTACATGCAGGTGACAGGAGACTCAAGTGACATATACTGTATAGTACACTCTGCTGCAGAGTATGTTGTGTACAAACCCTACAATTAGTGCTTGTGAAAGACTGATAGGAAAGTATAGATACTACAGTAAAACATCTGCACCAAACTTTGTAACTTAAAAAAAGTAACGTTATCTATGGTTGAGTAAACGGTTTCTCTTCGTCATCCTCCTTCCCACCAGCTCCAGGACCAGTTTGGCTGGGACGCCTTCAAGAAGGTGTTTGCTGCCTACCACACCATGCAGAACGTGCCCAATGACAACAAGGGCAAGATGAACCTGTATGCTGAGACCTTCTCCCTTACGGTCGAGAGGAACCTGGCTCCATTCTTCAAGGCCTGGGGCTGGCCCATTGAGCCCGCTACAGAGGAAAAGCTCTCTAACCTGCCGGTGTGGAATGACCACCCCATGGCCCAGTATGGCTGACCTATAGAGGAGGTCACCCCCTTATATTGGGGGTCACAGGTCAGGGATTGCTGGTGAAGGGTAGGTACCGTTTGGTGATGGGTAATGGAGTGGTGACTAGGGCTTTGCAGGCCTGTTGTAGAAATGCTACTGCAAGAATCATGGTTGCGTCTGTTGTGCAAATGAATAAAGAATTGTAACGGTTTCTGAAGTCATCACAAAGGGCTGGCTGAGGAGATTGGGGGTCTATTGTTGGCTATAAATGCAACTGTATATTCTAGTGCACTTCAGAAGAGTCCTCGCAAGTGCCTTATTCATCAGAAGTCGGATGTTTTACAGGGTCTATTTCAATCCAAATGTAGTTATGTGAACAGTAAGGCATCTTATCCTGAAGTTTCATGTGTTTCTGAAACTGTATACAAAGCTAAGGAAATGTACCTCTTGTTAGATACTTTATATTATTCTCACTTATTCCTAGAAAGCACATAATAAAGAATAATAAAATGTTTATCTCTCCAAACAGTTCTTTATTTATCCACTGTAGTTCATGATTTCATTTTCACAGTAGGAAGCACATGACTGGGCTGAAAGACTGGTACTGATATGTGAACTGAAGTTTTAGCTCACCTTGCCGCTGTCAAATCATGAATAGAAATGAGTGGGATACTACTCCTCGGTCACTGCCTGGCAGTTGTTGTGAAACAACTCCCCCATTGGTGCGTTAGAGTAATGCTGCAGGAAACCGTTCAGTTCCAGCAGTGAGTGCTGGTCCACTCGGTTCTGCTCGGTGTTGAGGGCGGTGGCGCCGCCGCTACGTACAGGCTTACTGTTGTTGTCCACACAGCAGTAGGCGTTCCAGATGTACTCGGGGATGTTGACACGTCGGACGTTGTCCTTGACAATCCAGTTGTCTGTGGAGGTGATGGCGCCAACCAGCACGTAGGCTTGGGAACACTGGGCCTTGAACAGGTTGGTGAGCTGGGACTCGTGGCGGACCCAGGCTTTCTGGTTGAGCTTGGGGTTCTGGGGCACCACGTTGGTCAGGGTGAAGGTGGCGTTACGACTGGGGACTTGTCGAGAAAAGGAAGGGGGAAAAAGGAGATAATCTGTAGGTTTACCAATTTGTCATGAGATTAATAAGTGTTACAAAGTAGCAGTGGCATGTTGAGGCCCGCTTGGAGTTAACTTTGAGGCAACGTTGTGTTGCGTTCATACTTGGGTTTACCTTGTACTTAACTTTAAGCTCAATAGTCTACCATCATCACAGTAGTCCACACTGAACTAAGAAACAATTCTAACAATCCTAACAACATTGGAATTGAAATGTTGTTGCATGAAATCTGTTCAAAGCAGAGCCGGTATTGTGGAGTAGACTACCTGCATGGTGTGCATTGGGGTTGAGATGGCCGCGGTCGAAGCCAGAGTGGGTGTAGTCCTCGTTGAGTGCCTGTCTCTCACCCAGGTATACCCCAGGGTGATCCTTCCCCAGCCAGTACCCAGCCTTCATCTCTGTACCCCACGTAAGGTTCACGAGCTGGGAGGAAAATAAACTACTGTTACAAACCCAAACATAAATTATATTTTATCTTTCTCAACTTTTTAGGCATCTAATTTTATTTGGATGTTTTTTCCCCAATTTATTTTGGCAACAATCTGCCTTCATATTGTCTCCCGAGTGGCTCAGTGGTCTAAGGTACTGCATCGCAGTGCTAGCTGTGCCACTAGAGATCCTGGTTCGAATCCAGGCTCTGTCGTAGCCGGCCACGACCGGGAGACCCATGGGGCGGCACACAATTGGCCCAGCGTCTTCCAGGTAAGGGAGGGAATGGCCGGCAGGGATGTAGCTCAGTAGAGCATGGCGTTTGCAACGCCAGGGTTGTGGGTTCGATTCCCACAGGGGGCCAGTATAAAAAAGAATGTATGCACTCACTAACTGTAAGTCACTCTGGATAAGAGTGTCTGCTAAATGACTTAAATGTAAAATATTGTACAACACAGGACACAACAAACATGATGATCTAGAGCCTTTTTGAATTTGGGTCACCAACATAGTTATTGATGTGAGTTGTTGAGACCGTCCTATGGCATGTCTGTTTCTAGCCACAGACACATCTGTCCTGTTCTCATGACCCACCTGTGGCTCCACAAACCAGCGCTTCTCCCTGCCTCCTCCGTTGCTGGGCTGGAAGCTGTATGCTGAATACACAGCAATGCGGTGGTTGGTGTCGTACAGCGTGGCAAAGTGGTACCTGTTGTAGAAGCGTTGGCACAGGCGGGCAGCGCCAGGGGTGGCCACACCCCAGCCCGGTACCTTCCCCTGGTAGAAATACTCAACACACTCCGGGATGTCCTCGAAGTTGGCCACCACATCCCCCTCAACGAGGGACAGGGTTCCAGCCAGGAGGACACACAGGGCTACCGGTATCATTGGATTGGATGTTCGGACGTTCCTACTTCCTAGTTGCTTTCTCCTCGTGTTCTCTGGTCATGACTGGCTGTCTGTCCACTCACCTGGCCTGCACCAAGCTGTGCCTCTGAAGCAGAGCCCAATGGTTGAACCTGTACAGCCCGTTTAACCAGCACTGCCCCTTTAACCTGCTTTTCCACTTGTTACGCTCTCATTTCCGCTCTCTGCTCGCTTGACACGTGAAGGTCACAGGGACTGGGTAGATCCAAATGTACATGGTTCTCTCAGGTGGTGTGTACGTTACATAGACCAGCTGTTATGCCTTTGCTGTGTGTACTCTGTGTTTATCTGCAACTCTTGTAATGTTGTATTTCCACTTTATTTCATTGACGCTGAGGATAATGTTTTTTAATTTTTTTATTTAACCAGGTAAACCAGTTGAGAACAAGTTCTCATTTACAACTGCGACCTGGCCAAGATAAAGCAAAGCAGTGCGATAAAAACAACAACACAGAGTTACATATGGGGTAAAACAAAACAAAGTCAAAAATACAACAGAAATAAATATATATACAGTGTGTGCAAATGTAGCAAGTTATGGAGGTAAGGCAATAAATAGGCTATAGTGCAAAATAATTACAATTAGTATTAACACTGGAATGATAGATGTGCAAGAGATGATGTGCAAATAGAGATACTGGGGTACAAATGAGCAAAATAAATAACAATATAGGGATGAGGTAGTTGGGCGGGCTAATTTCAGATGGGCTGTGTACAGGTGCAGTGATCGGTAAGGTGCTCTGACAACTGATGCTTAAATTTAGTGAGGGAGATAAGTGTCTCCAGCTTCAGAGATTTTTGCAATTGTTCCAGTCATTGGCAGCAGAGAACTGGAAGGAATGGCGGCCAAAGGAGGTGTTGGCTTTGGGGATGACCAGTGAGATATACAGTGGGGGAAAAAAAGTATTTAGTCAGCCACCAATTGTGCAAGTTCTCCCACTTAAAAAGATGAGAGAGGCCTGTCATTTTCATCATAGGTACACGTCAACTATGACAGACAAATTGAGAAAAAAAATTCCAGAAAATCACATTGTAGGATTTGTAATGAATTTATTTGCAAATTATGGTGGAAAATAAGTATTTGGTCACCTACAAACAAGCAAGATTTCTGGCTCTCACAGACCTGTAACTTCTTCTTTAAGAGGCTCCTCTGTCCTCCACTCGTTACCTGTATTAATGGCACCTGTTTGAACTTGTTATCAGTATAAAAGACACCTGTCCACAACCTCAAACAGTCACACTCCAAACTCCACTATGGTCAAGACCAAAGAGCTGTCAAAGGACACCAGAAACAAAATTGTAGACCTGCACCAGTCTGGGAAGACTGAATCTGCAATAGGTAAGCAGCTTAGTTTGAAGAAATCAACTGTGGGAGCAATTATTAGGAAATGGAAGACATACAAGACCACTGATAATCTCCCTCGATCTGGGGCTCCACGTAAGATCTCACCCCGTGGGGTCAAAATGATCACAAGAACGGTGAGCAAAAATCCCAGAACCACACGGGGGGACCTAGTGAATGACCTGCAGAGAGCTGGGACCAAAGTAACAAAGCCTACCATCAGTAACACACTACTCCGCCAGGGACTCAAATCCTGCATTGCCAGACGTGTCCCCCTGCTTAAGCCAGTACATATCCAGGCCCGTCTGAAGTTTGCTAGAGTGCATTTGGATGATCCAGAAGAGGATTGGGAGAATGTCATATGGTCAGATGAAACCAAAATAGAACTTTTTGGTAAAAACTCAACTCATCGTGTTTGGAGGACAAAGAATGCTGAGTTGCATCCAAAGAACACCATACCTACTGTGAAGCATGGGGGTGGAAACTTCATGCTTTGGGGGTGTTTTTCTGCAAAGGGACCAGGACGACTGATCCGTGTAAAGGAAAGAATGAATGGGGCCATGTATCGTGAGATTTTGAGTGAAAACCTCCTTCCATCAGCAAGGGCATTGAAGATGAAACGTGGCTGGGTCTTTCAGCATGACAATGATCCCAAACACACCTCCCGGGCAACGAAGGAGTGGCTTCGTAAGAAGCATTTCAAGGTCCTGGAGTGGCCTAGACAGTCTCCAGATCTCAACCCCATAGAAAATCTTTGGAGGGAGTTGAAAGTCTGTGTTGCCCAGCGACAGCCCCAAAACATCACTGCTCTAGAGGAGATCTGCATGGAGGAATGGGCCAAAATACCAGCAACAGTGTGTGAAAACCTTGTGAAGACTTACAGAAAACGTTTGACCTGTGTCATTGCCAACAAGGGGTATATAACAAAGTATTGAGAAACTTTTGTTATTGACCAAATACTTATTTTCCACCATAATTTGCAAATAAATTCATAAAAAATCCTACAATGTGATTTTCTGGAATTTCTTTTCTCATTTTGTCTGTCATAGTTGACATGTACCTATGATGAAAATTACAGGCCTCTCTCATCTTTTTAAGTGGGAGAACTTGCACAATTGGTGGCTGACTAAATACTTTTTTTCCCCACTGTACCTGCTGGAGCGCAGACTACGGGTCGGTGTTGCTATGGTGACCAATGAGCTAAGATAAGGCGGGGATTTGCCTAGCAGGGATTTATAGATGGCCTGGAGCCAGTGGGTTTGGCGACGAATATGTAGTGAGGACCAGCCAACAAGAGCGTACAGGTCACAGTGGTGGGTAGTATATGGGGCTTTGGAGACAAAACGGATGGCACTGTGATAGACTACATCCAATTTGCTGAGTAGAGTGTTGGAGGCTATTTTGTAAATGACATCGCCGAAGTCAAGGATCGGTAGGATAGTCAGTTTTACGAGGGCATGTTTGGCAGCATGAGTGAAGGAGGCTTTGTTGCGAAATAGGAAGCCGATTCTAGATTTAACTTTGGATTGGAGATTCTTAATGTGAGTCTGGAAGGAGAGTTTACAGTCTAACCAGACACCTAGATATTTGTAGTTGTCCACATACTCTAGGTCAGACCCGTCGAGAGTAGTGATTCTAGTCGGGTGGGCGGGTGCAAGCAGCGTTCGGTTGAAGAGCATGCATTTAGTTTTACTAGTGTTTAAGAGCAGTTGGAGGCTACTGAAGGAGTGTTGTATGGCATTGAAGCTCGTTTGGAGGTTTGTTAACACAGTGTCCAATGTTGATGTGAGGAGAACTTGACTTGCTCTGTCAGGTCATCTGTGTCTCTCCAGAGTGAGATACAGGAGACATAGTTGGTTTGATATATAATTATCTTCAATAGGAAGCCCAGTACTCAGCATTTGGGCACTGAGATTTGTGTAACTGTTTTGTGATTGGAAGGTGTGTACAGTACAGTGTGTGTTCATGTTAGTCATCAGTATGATGTCCTTGTGGTGTCATGTCTCTATACAGGAAGCAGCTGTCTTAACGCAAGCAGTCTGCCCTAGGAACAATAACAATCAATTGCTATAGCAACAAGTCAAATTGTATTTATGACATGCGCCGAATACAACTGGTGTTGACTTTACAGTGAAATGCTTGCTTACGAACCTTTCCCAACAATGCAGAGAATAATAAAATAGGAACTAACACGAGAAATAAAATACACAAGAATGGCGCTATATACAGGAAGTACCAGATCAATGTACAGAGGTATTTGAGGTAGATAAGTACATGAAGGCAGGGTAAAGTGACTAGGCATCAGGATAGATAATAAAAGGAAAATAAAGAACAAGGTAGCAGCAGCAAATGAGTTTAAAAGTGTGAGTGTATGTATATATGTATGTGGGTTTGTGCAGTGTTGGTATGCGTGGGTGTGTGTGTGCGTATGTAGTGTTTGTGAATGTGTATGTAGTGTTTGTGAATGTGTCAGGGTTTTGTGAGTGTGTGTGTGTGTAGGTCAATGCAGATAGTTTGGGTACCATTAATTGACTATTAAGCTGAAAAATGAAAATCAGAAAGATAGCAACATACATTAAGTCAAACTTAATGACACATTTCTCCTTCTCATCGCAGTCTGGTAGAGTTTTTTGATGAAGTGGTGTTGGTGTAGTCAAAGTCAATGGCTAAGTCTTGGTTGTGTAACAGTAGTCTCATATGTTGGTTCCCCAGGCAAGGGTCAGCCTGGCTAGTGGCCTGGTCTCACCCTCTTGGCACACGCGCTCACCCAGGAACCCTAAGAGGCATGAGGGGAGAAATACTGCAGATAAGATTAGAGCGATCAAAAGTGGGAAAACCAGGCATGGTTTTTCCACAACAATATGAGGACACATCAAATAAATAATTTGAATATAACCTTGTTAATTGGTGCCAGGATAACGACCTCTCCCTCAACGTGATCAAGACAAAGGAGATGATTGTGGACTACAAGAAAAAGAAGAGGACAGAGCACGCCCCCATTCTCATTGACGGGGCTGTAGTGGAGCAGGTTGAGAGCTTCAAGTTCTGTAATGTCCACATCACCAACAAACTATCATGAAGAGGGCTCGACAAAGTCTATTCCCCCTCAGGACACTGAAAATATTTGGCATGGGTCCTCAGATCCTCAAAAAGTTATACAGCTGCACCATTGAGAAGCATTCTGACTGGTTTCATCACTGCCTGGTATGGCAACTGCTCGGCCTCCGACCGCAAGGCACTACAGAGGGTAGTATGTACGGCCCAGTACATCACTGGGGCCAAGCTTCCTGCCATCCAGGACCTCTATACCAGGCGGTGTTAGAGGAAGGCCCTAGAAATTGTCAGACTCCAGCCACCCTAGTCATAGACTGTTCTCTCTGCTACCGCACGGCAATCGGTACCGGAGCGCCAAGTCTAGGTCCGAAAGGCTCCTTAACAGCTTCTACCCCCAAGCCATAAGACTCCTGAACAGCTAATCAAATGGCTACCCAGACTATTTGCATTGATCCCCCCCACCCCCTCTCTTATGCTGCTGCTACTGTTTATTATCTATGCATAGTCCCTTTAACGCTACCTACATGTACATATTACCTCAATTAACTTGACTAACCGGTGCCCCCGCACATTGACTCGGTACCGGTACCCCCTGTATATAGCCTATATCAAGTATGTATACTGCCTGTAGATAGCATGTATACTGCCTGTAGATAGCATGTATACTGCCTGTAGATAGCATGTATACTGCCTGTAGATAGCATGTATACTGCCTG